GGGCTCCGCCTCCCCCGACTCTGAGTCCCCCCCCCCCCCCCCCCCGCCTCCCTCCTCCGCTCCCTTGCACCTTCTTCTCTCTCTCTCTGCCTAATACAGGTCTGTAGTCCTATGTGGTCTTATCCTCGCATCCAAGATATGGGACGACCTGTCCATGTGAGTGTCGCCCCGTGCCGTACGACTTTAGATGCCTACGGTCGTTTCTCTTCCTCCCACCATTACGGTGGTGCTCTCGTGTTCCTGCCCATGGTCTCCTCTTTGACCCGCCGCATTCATTGTGGCGTGGTCTACTGGCAAAACGCGCTCGTCGTCACGGAAGAAAGAGCTCTTGTTCAGTCGCCAGTACATGGTCCGTTCTTCTGCAGCAGCCGTCCCGAGGCGGCCGTCATCTCCGGGAGGAGCGAAGTCGTGCACTCGCCTCTGTGTCTGGAGTGTTCGGCTGCATTTTCCCACCACCACGCGTAGACAAGATGCTACAGCTTTGTTCTGTCGAGAGCCCAACTTAGGTTCCGAGCACAACACCGATTCTCTGTCGTCGCTCGCTGGGTTTTTGTTTACCACACACGGTTTTGTCTTGTTTTTGTGGGTGCTAGCCCTCATTGCACACTGGGGGAGCACCAATGCCATCTCACCACGAACTAGAGGGAAACAAGAACAACAAAAACGTCGAGCAGCGAAGCGCAACCCACCCGCTCGCGCAAATTGCCCCGTGGTATCTTCATGCGACAAGGAAGCCTATTTTTTGGCCTCTCACATCGTCACGGGCGACGTCGGCCGCGGTGTTTTTTTTTGCTGGTGGTGGGTGTTTTTCGTGGTGATTGCATGCATATTCCGCTCTGCCCTGCCGGTGGTCCAGGTGGAACTGCGACTTCAGCAAGGTGGGACGGTGCTCTCTGCGGCGCATCAACGAGCTCGAGGTGGCCGTGCTTCAGGTGCTGCAGTACAACGTTCGCGTCGCGTCTTCCCTATTCGCCAGGTACACGGAGCAGCGGTGGTGGGCGGGCACGTGTGTCGGTTGGGAGGGAGTACGGTCGCTATTCAGGAGAACAGGTCGCTGTTGCCGGTGTAGCGGTGATCACTCGGGGTGCAACCAGTGCCACGTGATTTTTGTGGTCGCTAGACAGAGCTACGTATCATGTCACGGGTTGCTATGCCGGGGCCACCGCTGTACGGGGTTGCCGTGGGAACGCGACGCATTAGTAGTACTGCGCTACGAAAGGTTGGGGCTTCCAGTCCCCTTTTCACCTCTATGTTTCGCGGCAATTGTGACGTGGTACAGCAGTTACCACAACAGTAGATAGATAACAGCACCCTTGTCGGCGGACCGCCACTGCTGTGTTTGATTTAACATCATGTTCTTTTTTTGACGAGGTGGTGAGTGACTTTTCTGAGGCCGTGGTTCGGCAGGGCCGAGAGCGCCTCCCTCGCTCGGCGCGGTACCTGCCTGCCACGTTCTGTGCACAACAAGCGAAACACGGCACAAAGAAAAAAAAGAAAACCGTTCAAATGTGTCTGAGCCTCTCTCCCCCCCTTTTCCTTTGTGTGGCCCACAAAATCTTTTCACCGCCGCCTCCGAATCCCCCCCACAGTTACTACTTCCGGATGCGGCACTGGTGCATCCTCCTCGGGGTGGAAACCCCGGGGCTGTACGACGCGTCCCCCCCCCGCCGAAGGAGCGAGTCTTTCAAGGCCACCGAGGCGCTGGCCATAGAGGAGGCGGCCGCCCGAGCCGCTGCGGCCGCGAGGGCCGGCGAGAACGAGGCCCTCCGCGTCCGGCGGGAGGCCGCCGAGGCGGCGGCGGCGCTGGTAGTGGAGGAAGACCTGGAGGGCTTGGGGGGGGCGGGGGAGGGCGGCAGGCGGGGGGGAGGGGCAGTTGTCGGCGGCGGCAAGGAGCGGGACAACCTGCTGCAGATCGGAGGGGCTACGAGGTGGGAGTGAGTTTGTGGCGTTTTTTGTGATGGGCAAGGGGGTGCCTGCACCACCCATGATAGTGTTGAGTGCGAAGGAAGGGCATCCGTTCGTGCTGCCCCAGTATTTGCAGACCAGTGTAGGTTGAGGGCGCGTTTTGTATTTTTTTTTCTCTCATGTTTATGATGAATTTTTCGCGCTCCAGCGATTATGTTGTGCGGCAGCGACGACTCCAACACTAGCACAGCAGCGCCACAGCAGTAGTCCTGTTTTTCACCCGGTCAAATGTGTTGGTTGTTTGTCTGTGCGCTCGCGAAGTATTGTGTACTTTTCTTCCTCGGCGTTCCTGGTGTTGGCTTCAGTTGGCGTGTCTCGTCGCCTCCGATCTCGGACGGTGGTGTCCTCGATGTCTCTCTGGCGCGCTGCCTTTGATGAGTCTCGGAAGTCAGTTCGTTTGCTTGCTCGGCGCGGCGGTGCACTGTGCTTGTTTGTGGAGTAAATCCCAGGGAGCCGTGGCGGGAGGCATCGAAAGGGCAAGGATCCCCCCCCCCCCCCCGGATAGCTGTACTGGGGCATAGGAAGTGGGTTGAAAAGGCGGGAAGTGATATCGATAGGATAGATAGATTAGGGACGACATTTTTGGGCCACCTTTGGCAAAGTAGGAAGGAACGATTGGCCATAGGGGATCGGTCCTGTCGGAACAATGCTCCGTCCTTTCGAGGACGCGTGGTCAATGGTCTAACCGTTAAGGCATGCAAAACATAAGAGTAACCCCCCCCCGGCCGGATACCGGCGGTGCCCCCTCCGCTTTCTACCAAGTTTGCACTGTCACAGTTGCCCCTGCTCGAGGGCATCCAGAAGGGGTACCATCGAGCGGCGACCGCGTAACACCCCGGACCCCCTATTCCTAGAGACTAGACCTTTTCTTCATCGTTAAACCTTTTGTTTCAGGGCGCCGGAGGGGCGAAGAGCAAGAGGGGTCCCTGGCATCTCGCACAGGCTCGACGGTCGAGTGTACAGGAGCTGCTACAGCAGGTGAACGAACAGCGACAGCTGCGTTGTCGACACCAAAACAGCCCTTGCCAAATCGTGTTCCTAATGTGCCCGCTTGCTTGCCGGAAACATATGTTTGCTATTTTTTTTCATGTGTGTGTTTGGTTGGACGCTTTCGTTTCACGCGGCATGGCGACAGGCAGCGGGAGTATGGTACAAAGCTAGGGCGGGCGGAGACGGCGGGCCGGGAACACAGACATCGTTAACCCTGATGCTGCCGCGTTTGTGGTCGATCCACTCACAAACCGTGTAGTTTTTAGTTTTCAATCCCATGCGGCTGCGTGACCGTTTGTCTGCGAAACCTTCACGGTATAGAACAAACATCGAAACAGCGGCAGCGAGGGACCTGCCCACGAGGACAAGGCCTAGAGAGAAGCCATTTTATAGCCCTATGAAGATGCTGAGGCTTTTACTCAACAATGGCGTCAAGTCGGCACGGAAACGCCCGTGTATGGAGAATAGGGTATATGCGCGAACCCTTTCCATGTCACCCGGTCAGCCATTAGCATCGCCTTCGTTCGTGCATACGGTCCTTGCGTGCTACGGCATGTCACCAACCGCAACATTCCGTCGTACACGTGCAGGCTACACCGCCCATCCTGAACAGCTCCGGTCTCAAAAGCCCTGCTCTTGTTGTTGTCTGTGACCCTGCTGGTCCCCGCACACGCCAACGTCCGGTCCGAGACTCGCAGGTTACCCCCTTCCCTGGAAGAGCTGGTGGACATGACCCAGACGGACGCGGGGGGGCGGCAGGTGCTCCCGGGAGACCACCAGCAGCACGAGAGACACAAAAGAATCAGCAGCTGCATACTGTGAGCTTACTTTTTGCAGCTATTTTTGTAGCATAGACGACGGCGACGACGCTGTCGGAGGTGGAAACGATCGATCGATGGGGGGTTTCCTTGCTTTCGTGGTAGCAACACCGGCGCGGCCTGCGCTTTCGTGCGTGTTGATTGTTTTTTTCGTGGGTTTTGTTCATGTCGTTTGGTTGGTCATGCGACTACTGGTAGACATGGCTAGAAAGTTCGCCGGCTGGTCCTTGGCAAACTAAAGGCAGGGTGAGAGATGACGTGACCAGCTTTGCATCCCTACCCCCCCCCCCCCCCCCCCCCAACCCCACCCTGGTTGGGTTCTTTTTCCCCCAAAAACCCCCCCGGACGGCGGCGCCTCCCCCCCTTTTTTAAAAAAAAACACCCCCCCCCCTTTTTCCACCCCCCCCCCCCCCACCATTACCACACCTACCTCTTCCCAACCCCCCCCCCCTTTTTATCCCCTTACAAACCCCCCCCTTTCCCGCCCCCCCCCTTTCTAGGGGAAGGGACAAATAGGGGACCCCCTCCAAACCCCCCCCCTCCGGGGGGGGCCACACCC